TGATAGTTGATGTATGACAAATTTCTGTTTTCACACACTCTTTCCTCTTTCTCTCTCTCTCTCTCTCTCTCTCTCTCTCTCTCTCTCTCTCTTTATTTCTTCTCTCTCTTTCACGTGTTCATATTTTTTGGTGTGGTAAAATATGAAATCCTTGCCTAGTATTTATAGGTGTAGGCTAGAGTAGTAGATAAACCAAAACTTTGATTTGATAAAGTCAAATACAATGTGGCACGTATCATAAAAAAATTGTACTTTATCATTATTTTATTTCATCTAAAAGAACTACCATTCCTATCCAATAAAAATGTGGTAGCCAATCAATCAAATTCAAAATGGGTTAAAACTATATAAAATTATATTTATCTTGTTTTCTTTCAATTGGGTATAACTTAATACGTTCTTATCCAAAATAACTTTTCTCGAGTCATAGACTTCTAATTAATTACGACCTTCGAAATGAGTCTAATATTGATATACATATCATTACTTTATCAAAATCCAATTATTTGACCCCAAATATATAATATATTAATATTTATTTCACCTTAATCCCTCACTTTCAAAATAATATAATAATTTATTTATTTTCTTAAAAAAAAATTTCGGAATGTTACAGAATATGTTTGAGTTTATGATGGAACGGTCAGACAACAAAGAATATGTTGTGAGGTGCTCACAAGAGGGATATAGTTGGATATGCAGAGTATCGAAATGGGGTAAAACGAAACTGTTTAAGATTCGGAAGATTGGTAGTCACACATGTGCATCAAATGTAGTGTTGGGGTCACACAGGCAGCTATCATCTACAGTTGTGTCCGCTAACATCAAGTACAAGTATACGTCGTCTCGTACTATATACGCATCGAAGGATATATGCAGTGATATGTTGCATACTTATGGGATTTATTTAAATTATTCGAAAGCCTGGAGATCTCGCGAGCAAACCCTGAAGATGATAAGAGGTGATCCGACTGATTCGTTTGATAACATACCAAGCTTTTTCTACATGTTTCGACAAAAGAATCCTGGGACGGTCACAAACTTGGAGGTTGACAGTCACAAACGCTTCAAGTATTGCTTTATGGCACTTGGTGCATTAATATACGGCTGGAAACCTTGTAGGCCTCTAATTGTGGTTGATAGTACGTATTTGAATGGTCACTATGGATGTACTCTTTTCATAGTGTGTACGCAAGATGCAAGTAACAGTGTATTCATCCTTACATTTGGGATTAGAGATAATGAGAACGACAAATCTTGGAGATGATTTTTAAAAAACCTGAAAAAGGCGTACGGGAACACAAAAGGGCTGTTTTTTGTATCGGATCGGCATAATAGTATAAAGAATGCAACAGAACATGTGTATTCGGGAACCTATCATGGTATATGTTTGTATCATTTGCTGCAGAACTTGAAGTTACATTTTGAGAAATCTAGACAAAATGTTACACAAGCTTTCAATTCCGCTGTCAGAACTTACACATTGGAAGAGTTCGAATATTATATGCGGCAACTGGACACAATGAATCAAAAGATTAGCGCTTACTTGGTATTGTAGTACTTCAATGTAATTTTTCACAAAACATTGGAATGGTTACATATTGTAGTTATATGATATTAATCAATACAATACATGTTTGCAGGCTGATGTTAGACCTGAAAAGTGGTCACAAATCCATATTACCCAGAAAATAGGTATTCAACAATGACATCGAACATCGTGAAATCATTCAATGTAGTCACGAAGGCAGCCAGAAATTATTCAATTGTATCCTTGCTGGAGTCATTACGACAAATTACGCAAAATTGGTTTTGTAAACACAAAGACAACGCACATGGGACTTTCACAAAGTTGACAATCAAATACGAGAACGAGATCAGAAAAATGAGTATAGATTTAAAGAACTTGAGGGTAAGTTTTAATTTTGACGATCACAACTACTCATACGACAACTGCATAAACTAATGTGACTTGAAATGCACATATGTTATAACATATATTTGTCTACTTATGCACCTTTTATATACGTGACCTGAACTCACTACATGTGACCTTCCTATACAATCCTGTGACATTAAACTATGCAACTGCATGTGACCTTTCCATATAATTCTGTGACATTAAACTGTGCAGTTATGACCTGCCCAGATATATAATTTGTAACATACACCTCAAGACAGTGACTGTTGGATAGATACTTGTTTGAACTAATGAAATTTGTTCATTTGATTATATTCTCCCAGGTTTCCCTCTCTAACCAGTCGGTATTTTCTATTAGCGGTGATAAGACAACTTTCTTTGTTGATATTGAGAAATAGACATGCACATGCAGGATGCTACAAGTTGATTTGTTACCATGTACACACGCATTGGCTGTAATTGCAAATACAAAAAGGGATCCATATACTTTCTGTTCTTATTATTACACACGTGACGTATACTTGAACGCTTACAAAGACTCTATATATCCTGCTAGAAATCCAAGCGAATGGACATTGCTACATGAAATTGTGTTAGCTCCTAACCAGAAGTGGAGTTGTGAAAGGCCAACTGAGAAGAGGAAGAGGTCATAACCGTAGGAGATGCTTCAGTCTTGTCCCATTGAGCTAATATTAGTCAATACAATACATTGCAATACCACAGAATATATGTGACCATTGTGTTTTTGAAATATTCATTTGTAATACAAGATTGACTTTATATGTGACTATTGTTTTTCCAAGTGTGCAAAATCTTATTTGAGTCTAAGTATTTGTTTGTTAATATAATCATTCAGACATGGTCAAAAGTTATGTAATCTAGTTGACTGTGAATCCCTATTCCTCACACAGCAAGACATGTGACCTGATGTAAAATACATAACCTCTGTTATTGCATTATGTGATCATTGCTAATTCATAATTGTGACCTAATAAATCATACACATGCACGTGATCAAACTTCAAAAATATATGACCAATGGTTTGGAAAAAAAATTGACATGTGACTTCCTAACAACTCTGTGACCAAAATATGATGAACACATGACCTAAATCCTAGTGAAATGTGACCAATAATAAATACATGTGATCACCAAACAGTTTTGGGACTTAATGTGATAACATGTGACACAAAATAGGGTTATCTCTGACCAATAATGCAAAAGGAATTAAATTTGGCTAAAAAAAGTCATGTTGTACTGAATTTTGTTATCTGTGACCTTTTCTAACAATAAAAAACCATGTACATTAACTACCTGTGATTACGTAATCGGTGATCCAGTGCAAAGCAACTCATGATCTGTGACCAATCTTCAAATGTGACCATCCATGTGCATATAAACTCAAAATAACCTGTAATAAAAAAATAACAGTTGACCAAAGCAATTCCTGTGAAAAATAATTACTACATTTTATAATATGAAAAGTGATGTTGTCATATATTCCGCACGAAAAAATTCGTGTACATAGCAACAAGACAAATCCACTTGAGAAACAACGACAAAAATATAAAAAGTCATGTGTGCACAGATCACAAAAGCTACCAACTAAAACTTCATCTTCCTAACACACATGATATCATTTTATAACCATCATCTCTCCCATTAATCCCTGCTTCGTATGCTTCACGTACATCTTCCGATATTTGTAGAGTAGTGCAGCAATACTCAATCTACACTTGTTAATGTCGAATCTATGCGGTATGGAACATCGTCCGTCACGAATGATGTATAAAGCGTACAAAATCACAAATATCCCATAATTATGACTGCAAAATAATAGTGAAAAAAATGTTATGATTGAAAAATTATCAGGTTAAGCACATATAATATGTCACAAGAATTATCCATTTGTCTACTGAGGTAGCATACTGTCGATGTGCACCTTCAATTCCTTGGAGTCAAGTCTATGGTAATTAGGGTCCTTTTTTGAAATTCTCAAAGCATTCATAGTAATTAGGGTCCTTTTTTGAAATTCTCAAAGCATTCATAAGTGCTGGCAAGATTTTCGCATATGACTCAATGCCTTCTAGAACCTTCCAATCACGATATATTTTACCTACCGAATTGAACACTGTCAAGATGTGGCATCTGAATTGTAGCACACCTAGCATCCGGTGGGCCTTGTTTGTGGGCAGCATTGGCACGAACACATAGGGGTGTCAAAAAGGCTCGGTGGCTCGGGCGACTCGTGGCTCGTAGTGACCGAGCCTCAAAATAAGAGGTCATCCCGAGCCCGAGCAAGCCCATGTGGCTCGTCAAGCCACACGGGCCAGCTTGTGTCACGGGCCAAAAATGACCTGTGACAATAATGCTCGGCCCGAGCAAATTAAAGGACAAAAAAAAATTGAGCTGCTGGTAGCAGTAACCTGCTGCCTAGGCCGCAGGTTACAGCTGCCTTAGGCAGCTATAAAGCTGTCTTTTTAGACAGCTTTATAGCTTCCAGCTAGGGCAGCTATAGCTGCATTTTTTACGTAGTATTACACTGTTACCTTTAATTGTATAGATTTTAAAATTCAAATTTGAAAAATAACGCGGGTTTTTTTTATCTATAAATACGGGATGATTTTTGAAATTTTAAATCACTTTGCTATCGATTTTAATTCGCATTATTTCTATATTATAGATTCAGATTCAAGTTTCAATTTCTTCTTTCTCACTTCT